GAAGGATCGCCAGAGCCCAGCAGGTCGAGGCTGCGGTGGCCGGGAGCAGCCACTGCACTCCAGTCTGGGCGACAGAGTGAGAATCCAACTCAAAAAAAAAAAAAAAGATTGGGTTATTAATGTGGATTGAATGGCATTCATTGCTTCCTTGCTTTTTTCTCATCATGTAATATTTTGAAACACCACATAATTATTTCAAGATTCTAACATATGCAATCTAATCTGTATGATTCTTATAAGTGTAAGTAACATTAAGCAGGTATACAAAGCTTTGACCAATGTCTCCATAAAGTAGAAGTTTGCAAACCACCTTTTTAAAAAAAAAAGTAGATAAAGTTTTATTGGAACATAGCCACACTCATTTGTTATGTATTATCTCTGGTCACAATTCCAACTTGAGGTGAGTAGTTGATACAGAGACTGTATGACCAGCAAGGCCACAAAGAGTTGCTACTTGTTATTTTACAGAAAAGCTAGCCTATTCATTGCTATGAAGACTAAAACCTTTTTTTTTTTTTGGCGAAAATCTGAAAAAGAAAATCCAATCAGAAATAAAAAACCTAGTGAAGCACACTTTATTTCTAGCTCAAAATAATCCTCGATTGCTGTAAGAAAAATCAACTGCTTATTTAGGCCCTTCTGAAAGTTGGGATAAAATCTACACATACTAAGTAATAACAAGAACTTAATTTTATTGGTTTCAAAAATATTCAAGATATTTTATTTTCTTTTGGAAATAATCAACAGGATTTCAAATAAGACTTAAAAAAATAGGAAAAGACTTGCTGAAGTTTTTGGAATAGAAAAATCAAATAATTAAATTAGTTCAGTTTTCTAACATATTGTCCATCATCATTTAAATTTCATCTTTGCAAATTTCACATTACAAAAAATATACAACGCATATTATTATCATATGACTATGTTTAACCCAGCGTTAATTGTAGAAACGTGTAAAGTGTCCTGTTAAAGTTATAATCTGGATGAATTGAACAAGGAGGAAGAGCTTTCTTTGCTAGCCCATTGATTTATGTCCCAGTTCCCACTCATGCTAATAGTTTCTTCCATCTTCCTTTGGAGACTACACAGTGATTCTAGATTTCTGTATAGACTGATTTGCTTTAGCTTGAAATCCATCAGTAAGGACTCTCTATTGCCAGTGTCCAGAAATCACATGCTTGCTCACATGCTGTGTAACTTCGATATAATGGAGGACTGTACCTGCTTTTCACTAAGAAGCTAGGATGGTTGTTCCTGACCTTGGGGGCCATTATACAATTGACCAAACCAGTGCCCATGTAGGTCCCAAGACTTGTCGCTAAGACTTTGCTTAGTATCCATTTGTCTACTGCTGGTCACCTGGAAAAATAAACTTTCCTGAGTGGCACCAGCTCATAACCCCTCCTCTGTTGGCACAGAGGAAAATGCATCCTTGTTATACAATTATACTCTTTTCAGGAATTGTGGACATGATTTCAATCATAGTACTGCATGTCTTGACAAACGTTTATTGTTATGATGGATGACTATATTATCAAGTGTAATGACATTTTTTACAAATTCTACATTTTTTTCATTTGGGTAACGGTGTAAAGAAAGCTCTGTTCTTTGGCCTTTAGATTATGGTACAGGACTTATTTGAGTCTTCTATCTTCCTACTTAGATTCTGTATTTCATTGTAAAGTCGTGCATTTTCCATTTGGTATCCCTCCCTTATTTGTAGGGCTTGTTCCTAAAAAGAAACAAACGAAGCTGAAGAAAGTACGGCATTAAGCAAATCTCTATATTTATCTTGCTTCCACATTTATTGATTTATTATTTAATTTCTTCTTGAAATTTTCTCTACCCTTATACTAATATACTATTTGCTGGGCATCTGAGCTCTGTGATGACTTCTTCTGGGTGTTTTAGCTAAGGAGTTTCAGCTTATGGATCTGGCTCTATTGATGAACCTAAATTACTAGTCTTGATTTCCCTGCCATAAATTGTACATAAGAGGCCTTGCTCACTTCTCCCAACTCCACTCTTCACACCCACCTCCCACCAGGCCTCTCACTCCCACTTCTCTCCTCACCCCAGTCTTCTGCTGCTGACTGGTGATTGGAATGAGCAATCATGGTGCCCAGATCTGGACGCTAATTCTTAACCACAGATTCCGGCCGATGCACTCAGCTAACTCTCGAAGCAGAGCAAGGTGGAGAGCCCCAGCAGCCAGTGACCCCAGCAGGTTGAGCAAGCTGAGATGGAGGAGGTGCCACACAGAGGACTCTTGGGACAGACAGGGAGTGAGGAGACAGACTGGCTGGCATTGTAGCCACAGGGCCTCATTCGTGCCAGACAAACCAGGCTTGTATTGGAGTTGCCGTCCTGCTCTACATGTGAGAGAACGTGAGAGCTACTGACAAGGTCTGTGATGGTTCTCCTCCTCCTAGTCACATTGTCTCCAGTGCCATGTGGGAGGCAGACCACCTACAGGGGAAGGGGGAGTTTAATATAGCAGGGGGCACCCTGTGGGATAAAGATAAAAATACGTATACGTCCCATAAAGGGTCACCCCAACAGTGGCAACCATGCACCTAACTTTACAAAGCAAAAAACAAAAATTAAAAGTACAGGAGAACAAGAAAGGCCCTTCCTCTGGGCTTCGTGTTTTCCCTGCCACACTAAGTTTATGATCAGGGAGGATGGAGAGAAACGGGAAAACAGAAGGCTCCAGGTGATGCAATTCGATACCTGAAGTTTAAGAGCCAGCATCAACTTTTGCTCTGACAATAACTGCTCCCTCTCCTTCTCCATCTTCTCAGTCAGTTGTTTCACATGTTCCTGATGACTCTTCTCCTTCTGTTCCATCATCTGCTCATTCTTCTTCTGCATTTCCTCCACCATTTTGGCTGCAGCCTGTGCAGCTTCGGCTTTCACACGTTCCTCTGTGGAGGAAAAGGAAGAGGAAAAAATGTGTGTGGGGTGTTCTTGTCGCCTCATTCTTCCTCGTACACTTACCTGTTATTGTTGTTGCTGATGGCATATGCCCTTTTGACACATGACTTCAGCAAGTAAGACACATCTTTACTCTTCTTGCACTGGTTTAAAGATGCAGGTTTGCCCAGCCAGGTGACTTAAAATTAAGGGTTTTTTTTTTTTTTGAGTTGGAGTCTCACTCAGTCGCCCAGACTGGAGTGCAGTGGCCGCTCCTGGCCACCGCAGCCTCGACCTGCTGGGCTCCGGCGATCCTTCCGCCCCAGCCTTCCAAGTAGCCGGAATTACAGGCATACGCTACCACGCCCGGCTGATTTTTTGATTTATTGTAGAGATGAGGTCTCGCTGCCTAGGCAGGTCTCGAACCCTCGGGCTCAAGCAATCCACTCACCTCAGCCTCCCAAGGTGCGGGATTACAGGCTGAGCCACCGAGCCCGGCTTAAAATTAAGGGTGTTTAAGATGTTTAATCTCTTGACTCATTTCTTACCTTCAATCTCCTTTTCTTTTTCTGAGACACTCAAGTCTGTCTGCAGAATCGCATCTCTCACAGACTCCTTGGACTTCAAGTATATCTGCAGAATCTCTTCAGCCTTAGGACCCAGAGAACACATAGTTAGCAGTAGGCAAGGGCTGTAAACACTTGTTCTTTGTTGTCTGCCCACCATCTTTTCCTCTAGGAATTGCTCTTCTTGGTGCTGGCATGCCTGGTGGTCACAAGTTTCTGTCACAGGAACAAGGTGCATGTTCCAGGCTTCCAATCTGAGAACCTCACTTCACATTGTCCTTTTAGGAGTGTCATGTAGGTGTTGGCCTAAAAAGAGGTCTCTTGGTTTTAGATTCAAGGCTCTAAGTTTAACCTGTTAGTGTCATGGTCCCATCTGGAGTGAGATTCATGGAGAATGAAGCCATCATTGTGGGAGGAAATTATAGTTATGGTGATAGAGGGGGGACGGATGGGAGCTGTGTAGGAAATAACGAACAGTGAGAGCGATCATAACATTATTTGAAACCTTAGACCCAGCTGTCCTTTAAAGCCGATTTGACACCTAAGCTGACAGATCACCATTGTTGTTTAAGAAACCATCATTGGGTTTTGCCACCTTTTTTAAAAAAAAGTCTTTACATTTTTATTACAGAAAAAAATGCTTCATTTCTTTAATGTGCTTTCTGATTCTGTGCTTGTGCCTTCAAGACTTTCACAACGATTTTCTGCTCTTCGATAAGGAAAGCACACTAGATTCTGTCACGAACACCTTTTGCACACGTGGAACCGCCATAGGCCCTGCTGATGTGTTTTTTGTTGTTGTTGATTTGGGCAACCTCATAAGAACATTTGGCCTCACAGTACGAACCCCTCGAAGTCTGTGTGAGCACTCACCACGTCCAGACTATGGTGATTCCCCAAACTTCTTGGTATATAGGTAGAAAATCCTATTACCAGAGGTATCAGACAGACTAGTTTTGTTAGAGGCTGCATTGTAGGAAAGCACATGACGTTATGTTAAACACTGGACCATTCTGAGTGCCACCAGCTTCCCTTCTGTGCCCTTCATACCTACGCCACTTCAAAGGACTGTTTCTGAGTGTTCTCGGCTCCCTTAGCTCCTGGTGAGGTGGCTGATTGTAAAGGGGATACAGATGGGCAGGTGCCCCTCTTTTGCAGAGCAAAATATCGAATTGTAATTTTGGATGATGACAACTTGGTGGTTGATCTGATAATTCAATGTATCATTCAACTGTTAATTGCCTGCACTTTCTTTGATGAGAACATAGACTCTGTCTGGTATAAAAGGCCCCCTGTCCATGTTATTGAATGAAAGCATGAATGTTATGCACACCTATGTGCAGTAATGCACACCTGTGTCAGTTATGCTTGGTCACATGAGCCTTTCAAGGAGGCACATCATCAGTTCCCATCATCAAATGATAAATGTTGGTTACCTGTATTCCCTTCCTCTATTCCTGATTATACTTTTTCTTCAGGTCTTCTATTTTCTGAATAAAGAGTCGATAGCCCCCTGGCATAGACTATATCTTCTCCTTTACTTCTTCTTCTAGAGGCTTGAACATTTCCTGAAGTAAAGCTGAGCAACGATCTGATGATGCTTTTTCATTCTGTTTACAAAAGTCATCTCGCTTTTTTTCTAGCTGAGCCTTTGATATAAAAACAAAGTGAAAAGAACAACAGGGGAAGGAAATGAGCTTGACCTCAGACTTCTAACAAAAAAAAGTCAATGACCCCTAGAAAATCTGACAGGCACCCCAGCAGGACCATATTCTTTCTCTTGACCCAAAATTTCTAAGAAGTCACTTTCTCCTTAGAGATGAATCTCAAAATAGGGATTGATAACTTTTTGTCAACCTGTAGAGGTAAACTTTATATTTTCAGGTTGAAATAATGATTGCACATGGAATAAATGTGGTTCAACATAAGCCTGCTTAAGATAACTAGCACTAAAATTCTCTTTGCTTTTGGTTAGAACATCAAATCTGTCTGATAAGCGTCTGCATGTAATTTGATTGGAAGCTCTGGTGTTCTGATGGAATATTACGCAGCCATTAAGAAGGACCAAATTATGAACTTCACGGTAATTTAGAGTCTATAATACTGAATGATCTAACACAGAAACAAAGAACTGGGTATCACATGTTTTCACTCATAAGTGGTCTTTGAACAATGATCATAATACTTTTAGAAAAGGATTGGCAGTCACAGGAAACTGCGGTGGTGGGGGTGGGAGTGGGTTGGGGGAGGCAGGATTGGCGCTAGTGGTAATCTACTGGGGGAGGAGTGAACATACCTCATTAACAAGGCCACCTGTACAATGAACACCTGTATAACTAACCCTGAATTGTATACTGCATCTTTAAAATAAAAAATTATAAATTAAAAAAAAAAAAA